CTAAGTGGTGAGACTTTTATCACTAAAACTATTATTATTAACTTCCCACAAAATAAATTTGCATAAGAATATTTAGTTTCCGGCATTAAATAACCCATAGAGGTTGATATACCGTAAAACATATGAACAAATTGTTGTCTAAATTACCAAGAAATGAGAATACTGACATCTCAATTTCACAGATATATTTACTAAAATTAAGCAAAAAATATCTTGAAGTATTAAAGAGTAAATTTATTCAATAAAACCGCCATTGGCTTCGACCACTGCCTCCAGAGAACTTCGGAATCTCCTGCAACTCTACAGGATGGTCTCCTTCTTTAAGGTGGTGAGTGCTGCCATAATCCTTGCCTTCATTTGGTGTTACAAAGCGTTTTGTTTGTCTCTAACTCAACTGCTCCCCTCACATAATAATAGAGGGGGTTATAATGGTCAGTTAGGTGGTCAGATGTAAGGGATGATGTGGCCGCAAAAATTGTCTGACAGTCGTAACTGGGTTCTCCTGCTTGTGTAGCATGGTGCAGAGTCGTGTTGCTAAACATTAGGACTTCCAACAGCCACCCTCTTGACCCCAGGTAGTTCTACCTCCTCGTGGCAATTGATGTAGGCCTCCTTGTTGTGTCTGAGGCTGTAGTTCTTTTCTTATCAGAATGATCAGAGTAAGTTTTCCGAGTTGTGTTGCCTTGGTAATTAGTCTCTTCCAACTCTTTCCGAATTCTCTTTACTGTCTTCAGATTGACACCAAAACACTTTGAAATATTTGCATTGGAGGTTCCGGCGCGATTACCAAGCAGTAGAGCATGATTTTTCAAATTTCTGGCGGAGTAAATTGCGTTATGGTTCTATTTTGCTCACAGCCGGTGTCCAACTGTCCAACGGTGTCATACTGTAGAGTTGACAAAATAAAAATGAAGAAACAACGCGCATGCGTAAAATTAAAAAAAATATAAAATGACGACAATTTACATATCGCACTTTATATATAAAGGCTTTAAATAAGGATTATTTCATTTCGTCATTCCGTTATTATTAGATATAGATAAATGAATTTTATATATCATATTTCTTCCATCTCTCTCTCTATAAAAAAATTAGGCTAACCAAAATATTTAAAAAGTGGAAAATCTTGTCAGAAACAAAGAAAACAGTACTCCTCCTATATGGCATTGAATCTATTCACAGATAAAGAAGTGCCATGAGCCAACAGAAACGCACTTCTAAAAGCATGCTGAGAATACCATGAACCAAACATGTGGCCAACGACTAAAAATAACCTACACGTAGAAGCATAAAAGGGGTATTAAATCTTTTTGGTACATAATGAGGAAAGACGGTTTGAAAAATGTGATCCTCATAGGACAACACCGAGTAACCTTTCTAACGAGATTCTGCAAATGGTTGGCAAGGCAGGGATTAGCAGTGATAGAATATAAAAGAATGAGTTACTTAATAGCTACAAATGATAGGGAATTGTGGGAAGCCATGATTGCGCACATCCTGATGGGACATGGCATATAGGAAAATCATTTTGAAAAGTATTCCGTTATTTTTAACGTCACAAATGCCGTTTACATTTTTTTGATGTAACGATAAATGTTGGGAGATCATATTGAATATGTGTGGACAGATAGTAGCATATACATTTAATTGATTCGCAATGTGATGCCACTAACTGAGCATATGTACTAAGTTACCGTCGCATTCGCAAAAACTGATAAAAGCATATCATAGAATATGCAGGTAGTTTATGCGGATTAACAATTCAAATGATTAACAACATTTTCAGTATGATTCAATGCCTGAAGCCCAGATGGATATTCGTTACAGACGGATCAAATTTGGCTTGGACTCCATTGAAAGCGATCCACATTCTGGAATGTCTTCAAATCATTATCCATACATGAACAACATTTCCAGGAACCAATCAAAGGAAATTGCTCATTTCAGTAACAGTGCCAGAATCCGCAGTTCAGGAAATTAAACAAATACTTCAGAATGTATCCAGCCATGGTGAATACTTTGACTGTGCATTCATTTTGTCGACATCAACATCTGACTTACAAGTGAATAAGAGGCTAGACGTGACAGAAATATGGTTCTGCATATGGATGCTGAAAATACCATGGACGGAACACGTGGACAATGTGAGAACTGTAAAGAAAATAATAGCTAAAAAGGCACATAAACTAAAGAAAATTTTATAGTAAAATATGGCGGAAACAGATTTGCAGCCCTTATTACTCACTGGAAATATTGAAGGCAAGATAAATAAAATTAAACACAGTAACATTTTAGAGATATTTTTTGAGAATCGATGATAGGACCAGGCCATATAGGGAGAGTTAACAGCCAAAGATCTGTTAGAAAATACAAGGGACAGGAAGTCGTGGAGAGCTTTAGTCGTTGGCCACATGTTTGGTCCATGGTATTCTCAGCATGCTTTTAGAAATGCGTTTCTGTTGGCTCATGGCACTTCTTTATCTGTGAATAGATTGTCTGTACGTCTATATATTGGATCGGATTTCTTACATTTTTCAACCGATTTCAACAAAACTTCAAAGGACTGCGTAAAATTACCTTGCGGTGGTTCTGACAGCGCCAAAAATTGGAAAAACACAATTGTTTTCGGACGAAATCAATTTGAAAACACGATAAAACACGATTCTGTTGCCAGAATGAAAGGGGGACAACTCATGTCGAGTTATACTTATTATAAAACCCAGGTTGTTTGTGTGTGTGTGTGTTCGTTTATATATGGGATAGGATTTCTTACATTTTTCAACCGATTTCAACAAAACTTCACTTTTTTTTGGAAGGTAGTGTTTCTTATTGTCTTGCACACTTTTTTTTCTTTATTTTTACATTCAGAATGCTTTAAAAATTCCATTTACAAGACAATTGTTTATAATAAAATTCTATTCAATCGATAGACTCATAACGATTGAAAACAATGTTTTTGTTTGACCAATTCGTAAAAAAAAAAACTAATTAAGACATGCGTGTCCATCAACCTTAAACAATAATCTTTGTCAATTTTATTTTTCAGTCTTTATGATGGTCGATACTTGATCTATCTCTTACTGATACATCCCGGGAAACGCCGGGCTCAACTGCTATATATATATATATATATATATATATATATATATATATATATATATATATACTAGAAGCATGGGCCGGCGTTGCCCGTGCTTGATTCAAAAATCGTACGACTCATACAGCAATCGCTATCACTTGACTTAAAATATTTTTGCCGTTCCTTGCCTTTAAAGGAGTGCCCTTGCCGTGCTGATGTTGCTACATGCCTTACTTCTTGCCTATCTCACACTGCGAATTTTTTCTAAGCTCTATACTAAACATTAAATCTGTTACGAAAAAAGAACTAAACAAAATGAACACAAAACGATCAGCTTTAAAAAAAGACTCGTAACTGGAAAAACCGAATGAAAAATGAATGTTAACCACAAATATTTTTTCACACACAACCCTGTTTCCTGAAATATTGAGACTGGTCATACTACTATGTCTCTATTCAAAACCACAAATCCAGCATTCAATATGTTTGATTTGGCAGGGACCTCAATTTTCTTGCACGGAAAGGAAAAATGGAATGGAGTTTGCGTATCACTGTCTGAGAACTTTAGTGTAGACCACATTTTTAGCTTTTTGCGAGGGTGAATAAACGAACACATCCTCGCGTTTGCCGACTCCAGAGCAGGCTACGTAAAGTTGGCCGTGTGAGAAGCACTGCTCCTTCAAGTGTACACCAATGACAGACAGCGTTTGTCCTTGGGCCTTATTAATTTTCATAGCAAAACAGGGCGCAACTGGGAATTGGGATCTTCTGAAGGTGAAGGGTACGTCGGCATCTGATGGATACAAATGCATCCTTGGGATAAGCATTTGCTGCCCTTTACCGCAGCCAGTTATAATTTTGGCCTCAATAATGTTTGGGTGTAGGGCCTGAATAACCATCCTGGTCCCATTACAGAGTTTCGGTGGACGCAGATTTCTAAGCAACATAACCGGGATTCCCACTTTAAGTTCCAGAATGTGAGGAGGGAGACCAGCGGGGTGGAAGCTGTTTAAGAATTCCACTGGAAAGTTCGCCATTTCAGCGAGGTCTGGAGTTCTGTCATTGGATTTGTAAACGTGCAACACCCCTGACACAGTTTCCAGCAAGCCACTCAATATTGTTGTAGTTGATTTGAAGATCAGGAAGAACTGATTCCATGAGTGTTGCTGGAGTTGTGACCACTGTAGACAACCCTTGGACGTTTACAAATCCATTAGTGTCCGCTGGAATAATACCAAGGGCTAATAATGTATTCGAAAATTCGGCGGACCCAACATTGCCAGTTAGGTGTGCACGCATGTTGGTGATAAGGTGCAATGGTCTAACAGTGGGCCAAAGTTGTGACGATTTCAAACACGCTCGAATAGCGTCGGCCCTTGTCCCCTTAGGTACAACGGGGAGGGTCTAGCGAAAGTCACCGGATAGAAGGACATTTATACCTCCCATAAGATCATTGGAGTTTCAAATATCCTTCAGAGAGCGGTTTACAGCCTCGAGTGCAGTTTTGGTACTGACAGTGCACTCATCCCAGACGATAAGATTAGATCGCCTGAGTACCTCCGCTAGACCTGATTGCTTGGCTATACTGCATACAGCTGTTTCTGCCTTAATCAGGTCAAGCGGAAGTTTAAACGTTGAGTGCACTGTTCGGCCACCCGGTTGTAATGTGGCAGCAATGTCTGAAAATGCTACTGCTAGCGCCACTTTGCCATGGCGCCGAATTTCTGCAAGAAGCAGTTTTGATACGAACGTTTTTCCCGTTCCCCCAGGCGCGTCCAGGAAGAAAATTGATCCTGTATCCTGCCTGGTGGATGCAAGAACCGCATCGTAAGCGGCCATTTGGTCTATGAGAAGTTTTGGCTCATTTGTTGTGACATAGGCGCTGAGCTCCTCAACAGAGTAGGATGTCTCCCACACAATCTCAGGTGAGAGACTGGAGGAAGTCACACGATCTGGCGTTGGAAGCCCAATAGCGGCAAGAGATCCCCCCCATTTCAACGAACATGTTCTCAATGATTATAAGCGCCCTGTTGTAAATTCTATCGTTGAATGTAAGAGCCATTGTTGGACACAGCAGTTGCGCTTCCCTGAGTATGTCTTCGGACAATAAGTCCTTGTATTTGTCCCAAAGTGATTTGGGATCACTGGGTTCACACATTTGTAAGATTGTGGTGAAAAGGTGGCGCAAAGCAGAGGGCATTTTTAAAAGAGCTCCCTCAGCCATTGTGACATCCCACTGGCTGTCGTCTTCCAAAAGGCCGAGACGGAGGCAGGCCTCACGAAAAGTGTCACATAAAATTCCATTAACCGTCCGTAAGTTATTGTAGCTCGTTGGACCACTAACTTCGTGCAAAATGAGTCGCAAGTAAAAACATTCCTGTCGCGATGGGGGAACCGTGAATACCCTTCCGAGTGTGGCGTCTTTTTTGACGGCTGGATAGCCCTCGACGTTGGCCCTGCACTTCCGCCGAGCCCAGGTGTTCTTTTTTGTCCACACGTAGTATGAAGGCACGTCTAGGTACAGTAGAGTCCTAGCAAACTCGTCCTATCGACAAAGTTTGAAGAACGCTGTAAGCGTTGTGTCTTTGGTACGCGCAGCAACATCCATTACTGCATCCGCAGAAAAATAACGAAGTTCGTCGTTTTCTAGGTGCACAGCAAGCTGGACGATTGCTGGGAAGCGTTCGTGGATGGGGAAGCTGAATATGTGCACAGGGCCCTCTGTGCTGCTAATGACGCCCCCTGCAAGGAAGTCCTGGATTTCGTCTACGGAACCTTCCTGCCTAATACCAAACATTGCAGCATCAGTCCCTTTGTTGATATACTTGCATGCATACTTGATGGAGCGAACTGAATGGCAATATTCATCATTGATGTGCGAATTGAACGCTTTTGTTAGCAGGGGACAGTATCGCACTACCCATCTGTTATCCACTTGGTGGCCCTTTACCACGGCTGTAAATCCTCCCTCAGCGGGACTCCTTCGCCGGTACAGTGGATAACCATCGCTCCCTGTAATGGTTTCGCTCACGAAATCTCGTGGGTACTGCCGGGTGCATTTGCCGTCGCTGTTGTGACAGCTGGTGTAATTGTAATGCGACCCGCAGGGACCATGAATCATGTTGGTTATCACTATTTCGTACAATTCAGGGTCAGCCGACGGATCAGGAATTTCAGCAGAAATGAGATGATCGATTTCTGTGGCCTCAATCTTGTCGCACAGCCAAATTAGTATATGTGAGTGAGGCAGGCAACGTTTCTGCCACTCAATAGTGTGCATGCGACAGCAAACAGCCCCCAAAACCTGGCCCTTTGTAATCACATCCATTACCTTTCCCAACTTCAGATGGTAAACGCGCGCAATGAGGTCTGGACGGTCGTAGACCGATTGCCCTGGCATTAGTTCTTTAGCAATTGCGTACCATTTTGGGTTAAACGTGAAAGTTATTGAATAGGTCTGGTCGGCCGTACTTACGAACGTATGTCATCGCGTCTTGCGTCCTCACGTATATGTATCTTGGACTGCCTGTGTACGTTGCAGGTAGTATGCACATCTTGTCTATATTGCGTGGATCAGCGTCATTTCGTAAAGCATCACGGAAGTGAATGTAAGAGTCGCAGGGTAACTTAGTCTGATTCGATCTAATGTAACATTCGGATTCCATCTTAGCAGCCAAGTCTACTATGAATTGATGGAAAAGTTGCCGGCTTCGATGAAGATGATTGAATGCACCCTCATGTACCATCAATAGGTAGGCGTAGAAAGCCTTGCAAGACACTGTTTTTAACGTGGACCCATTTTGCAGAATGCCAAAGTGGTACCCATTTTCTCCGTAAGGGAAGAAAAGTGGGTATTGCAGTGCATCATAGGACCGGTGCGTTTCACTGATACTTCGGAGCCCACTGCCGCGCGATTCGATAACAATGTCACGTCTGTTGTGCTGATCACCGCTGATAATGACGGAAACTTCGTTACTTGCGGGAGCATTGTAACGACGTTCATGCTCTCCCTGAGGCCGTTTGGCAGCATTAATTACAATAATGAAATCAGAAGAAGTTTTATGTTCGAGAGCATACTTAAAACTGCGGACATAGCTGTTTGTCTCGTGGAGCATTTGTTGGAGACACATTATGATATCCCTGCGAGGATGATTGTGCTGGCCTGTATCGTTCTCGGGAATAATGCCTATGCGGGCATCTGCCTGTTGCTTGTAGTCAGCAATGAAGTATATTTGTAGAAAGGCCAAATCAGTGGCAGTTTCCGGCAAAAGAGACCCAATCCGGTGGTAAACCTGACCTTGAACCTTGAAGGTGGGATTCCAACCGACTTCGCGGAAGGCATTACCACCAAAAGAGGTCTGGAAGTCACAATTGTACTGCCTGATTTTTGCGAGGAAATGTTTGGATTCTGGACTGGAACCCTCCAACAGAGCTTTCAACGGAGCAGGTAGCTCTTGAAAAGGTGGCAACTGCACCTTACCGTCTGAACAACACAAACCTGCAGATTCTCCAGACCATCTTTTGGCATTGCAATGCCCACAGACAACTGACATGGATCCTATATGGAGGTCTTTGTGACCGGAAAGCCTCAAAACTGTCTCATAGTTGAACCCCAGCTTAAACCAAAACTGCTTTGGTGGACTACAGAGCCCTCGCTGTGCATGGCGGCGCTGGTTAACAGTCTGCAACCTTTCAAGCCTTTCAGTAGGTCCTTCTACAGCTCTAGAAATTGAAATTGCATCGCGTTTCCGCCTTGTGCGCTTTTGCGCGGAACTTTCCGACGCCCTTGCAGCAGAAGCTGCAGCGGCGTCGGCTGCATGGCGTGCGATTTTCTGAGCTATGGATTCCTGGAACCGTCGAATGGACGTTGCCGCAGCTTTCGCTGCGTTACGTGCGGTTTTCTCAGCCGTGGAAATGGAAATTGCAGCCATTTGAAGGGTTGTAGAAATGCTGTGTAAGAATGCGAATAGAAGTTGATGCCGAAGCTGAAGCGGTGCAACCTCGTTGTATACAAAAACTAAAAATGCAGTGGAACGGTATGGAAAAAGCTTCTCCTAGCTGTGGGCCGTGCTTTCTGGCAGCACGAAAACGTCGCTGTAGGAAGAGGTTACGCAACCAAAACGTTAAAGCGTTGAATGTTAAAAAGTAGTGAAACACTGAGGTGTACTGGGCCGCGTAGTAAAGACAGAAGAGAAGTAACTTGCGACAGCAGTTAACTGTCTAATAGCAAAACTGAACTAAGAAAAGGTAGAAATAGGTATGGAACGCTAAGATGGACTGGGCTGCGCATTAAAGGCAGCACGCGGAGATAAAATGGGCAATGCAAACGTATAAGCAAATAGGCAGTGAAGTACTGAGGTGTAGTGTGCCGCGTAGTAAAGGCAGTACACTTCAACTTACAGTGAAAACTGTAATGTGGAGGTAAAATAGGTTGGGCAGACGATTGAGTAAATAAGTGTTGTGGAGTGATTTCACAGTGGAGGCTTGTATTTGTACTGTCGGTCCTAAAATAGGTTCGACGTACAAAACGTTAGGAACTTGATATATAATAGGTATAACGTAGAGTAATCTAGTAGTCGCTGATACTTTAGTATTCGACTGTCGTCCAGCATCGACTGGCTCACCGACCGACTCACCGACTGCCTCTTTACTCTTATTACTCCTACTTATTATAGGTGGGAGAGTCTATTAACTATAAAATAGGTGTGTTCCACTATAACAACAAGTAACTTGCGACAGCAGTTAACTGTCTAATAGCAAAGCTGAACTACGAAAAAGTAGAAATAGGTATGGAAAGCTAAGATGGACTGGGCTGCGCAGTAGAGGCAGCACGCGGAGATAAAATGGGTAATGCAAACGTTTAAGCAAATAGGTAACTTGCGATAGCTGTCAATTAATCCAAGGACAGATGCGTTAATCGCGATCAAATCAAGACGTGAGGGCGGATGCAGCCGCGCTGAAGGTATTTAAAGGAAGCGTGACTTGTCATTGATTGATGTAGCCTGGACAATGGTCATGACTTAGACCAATGAATGAGTTCACGCAAAATGGAAGATGCTAGCGCGCATTCACGCACGCGCGCATGATTTGGAAAGCACAAGGCTTGGCCGTAAACGGGGTCAAGCTGCCTGCTGCATATGCAGCTTGGCTCTAACGCACGTGATGCCGGCGATGAGAATCTGCAATGAAGCGTTTGCTCGTTTGGTTTGTGCGACAACGAAAAGCCGTTAACCGTTTGCCGGCATTAGTTTTGAAATGGATTGGGAGGAAGGCCTGTTGCTTTAGCGCAAAAACTCATCGTCAGGTCTGGGTTGCGGCCTGGGCTCGGGGAAAAGGTTTAAAGATTTGGAAAATGGACTGCTGAGGGCCGAACCATTTTCCCTCAGCACGTATGCGGTTTTTTTTTCAGTAAAGACGCGAATAAAGGAATTGCTTATTTTGGTAAGATGCGACGATTAAAGCAAAAGTGTTGACATAGTCGAATATGTCATTTGTGGCTCAAAGTCAGACCTGCTAGCAGGTTTAAAAAAATCCGAATTTCAATGGCCCTGCACCCATTCCAGAATTTGAGGTCAAATGTTTTCTTCCACTCCACTGCACGCACTAACCTGTTTCTTCCCGCGCATAGCGTGACCTTAAATTAATCTGCATTTCGGAAATACCTAACCGGAAAAACATTTTTAAGGCTTGACCGTTTGTCCATTTGCACTCTGTTTGGGGGGCGCTCAGAGTTGAAACTTCACATGGTGACTCCCAATGGCCTCCTCATAAATCCGATCGGTTTTCGCTAAAAACCGACATGCGGTTCAGCTGCAATCTGGGCGTATCGGCTTTTGGGTTTTATCGATTTTCCGCGCTGTTTAGGGGTCCGTGATCATGAAACTTCTGGACAACACTTCTAATGGTAGACTCTAAGAGGGTGTCAAATTTGGTTGAAATGCAATAATTCCTTCTGTAAGCAGATTTTTTCGATTATCGACTTTTTCGATTATCGATTTTTCGGAACCTGAGTCCGAACTGAAAAATCAGGCTGCGCCATGTCCTTAAGGCAGCAATTTGCAAACTTGTGGTGAAAACTGCATAGAAATCGGGTGAGAAATGAGGCCTGGGCGAGGTAACAACGCCCACGACAGACACACAGACAGACAACATGAGAAATATAGATAGTAGATAGATAGATAAACCTTCCTAAAAAAAAAAAAAAAAAAAAAAAATCCTCTTGACTTAAGCCCAATTGAGAACAGGTAGGAAATCCTTGATCTGTAAGATAAGGGAAGATGATGTTCAATTTCCTTCAACATAAGAAATGAAAAAAAAATCTATACGGAATGAATAGGATTCAACAGGCAATTATATATTGTGCAGACGAGTATCAACGTCTCCATAATGCATCTTCAGTGTCATTTATGGCCAGGGAGGTGTTGCAAGTTATTAAAATTTCCTTGAAATTTATTAATTTCATACTTTCTCAGCAGCTGTTTCTTTTCTAAGTAAATAAGCTTTCCAAAATATTTACTTGTTGAAAAATATTCTCATCACATATGAATACAAAAAGACAATAGTGCCAAATCAGTTAAATTCAAACTTCCCCTTGTTCTTAGTTTCTATTAAATGTCGGCGTTCCTTTGGAATCTATCTATCTATCTATCTATCTATCTATCTATATATATATATATATATATATATATATATATATATATAAAGCTGGAGGTGTGTGTGTTTGTGTGTGGGTAACGAATGCACGGTCGCAATTTTCGACGGATTTGCGTCAAAATTTACATGCACATGTTCCAAGTTAGTAGGAAGGCCAAGAACGACTTTGCATTTCCCAACTACCATCGATAGTGGAAATAATCGGCACATTTGATGTAGTTTGCGGCCATTTTGTACTGGCCAGAGTGAGAGCCTATAGCTGGCTGCCACGAATAGGCAGGAAGATTCTACTGGCCAGCGTGTGAGCCAACAGCTGACTGACACGAATTTTAACTAGCATGTTAGCATGCAAAAAAAATCGATAGCTGCATTCGTCACAAGTGGGAAAAATTTAAATCTGCATGGCACTTTATTCCAGTTGGCTCATTCGCTTGCTTAAACTCAACGTTATTTCTGATTCCGCAGAACTGGGTTGGGTGTGAAAACGTATTTGTTGTTAATATTGTTTTTTCATTCGGTTTTTCCAGTTACGAGTCCTTTTTTAAAGCTGATCGTTTTGTGTTCATTTTGTTTTTGTTTTTTTTCGTAACAGATTTAATGTTTAGTATAGAGCTTAGAAAAAAATCGCAGTGTGAGATGGGCAAGAAGTAAGGCATGTAGCAACATCAGCACGGCAAACGGCACTCCTTTAAAGGCAAGGAAGGGCAAAAATATTTTAAGTCAAGTGATAGCGATTGCTGTATGAGTCGTGCGATTTTTGAATCAACCACGTGCAACGCCGGGTCATGCTGATAGTATATATATATATATATATATATATATATATATAAACAGAGGATGTCTATGTGTCTGTGTGTCTGTGTTATACCTTTTCACTTGAGATTCATCCAACCGATTTTGACCAAAATTCGCACAGACTACACTGAAAGAGAAATTTTTTTTTAGCTTAAAAATTCGATAATTTAAAAAAAAAAGCCGATCAAAAATCGATAAATTCAACTTTTTACTAAGATTTCGTTCAAACTTGGTATGTAGGTTACTTACATCATGGCGAGTTCAACGATATCTCATTTTTATTTCTACGCCACAAAGTTTAGCGAAAAACCGCGAAAACGAAAAATCGATTTCAACACAAACTAAAAAACCCTCAATTTTCAAGCAACCTAATACAAGCTTCACTTAATTGTAGCCAACAATAATTTGATTGTTTAACAGTCATTTAACTTGATAATTGAGTCCACCCATATAGTGAAAACGCGCGTAAATAGCGAAAAATAGCGCTTTTTAATGGTGTCTTTCTTATTTTTCGTTGATCTTTGAACCAATTTTAATCAGCCTTAACAATTTCTTTATAAAAGTATCCTCTTTTACATCTCTGGTAGAACATTGATAAATTGAATTTCAAAAAGTGCAAAATAATTGTGGTCTCATGTGGGTCTTCACGTTGCCTGTTTTACTCCTTCATGTCCTTGGCTAATTTCGATTGAATAAATGCAGACTACTGCTGTTATATCAGTAACTGCATTAATTCAAAACGTTTTTACTGAAAGTACTTTAAAATAATTAGATAGACCCTTTTGCATATAAACAGGATGGTGTTTCTGCTCCATTCTAAATGAACGCTTTTTCTGATCAACCAGCTGGCTATGACTGCTAGCACACACACACACACACACTCACACACACACACACACACACACACACACACACACACACATATATATATATATATCTACAGAAGGTTACTAAATAGAATGATCACACGGAGGTTGGTAATGAACGATAATACTTAGGGCAAGAACAACATATATAAGATTTGTCAGAGTCGCCTAGAAGAAGTAGTCAACTGTTAGAAGTTATTCAAGTGGATTTCACAATGAATTTCCAACTGCAGGATATCTATCAACCGCCCCACGCGCTCAGATGTGGCACAAAGCCGAATTTAATGTGGGTTATCCGAGCCTGTATGCTGGGCCAAAAAATGCCCCGTAGACACCGTATAAAATGGTGTCGGGTATCTCTTTCCCGAGACGAGACTCTGTCCTTCGACATAGCCTCGTCTGGGGATCATCTCTGCCCGGTTGCAGAGAATTTGGCTAGCAGAGCTGGAAACGAATCTCGAAATGCAGACCAACATACAGTATTTACTACTGTATTTATGTGAATGGGGACATACCCATTATCGTCCGGAGGTATGCTACAACAATATATATATATATATATATATATATATATATATATATATATATATATATATATGTATGGAAATATATAGAAA